TGAGAATAAGTGATAGACATCATTTAGGTCAGGCTAAGGACAACAGAAGCAACCTATTTTCATAGGGGGAAAAGAGGCAATCGGCTCCCAACCCAAATTCCTATAAGCAAATATCAAGAATTGCTTTCGAACAGATTCAATTGAATCTACATAGCACCTATATAAAGAAGACCACACAACAAAGGCATGCTCGAGTTTAGGTCTAATCACATGTATAGCCTTTTCGTAATGTAAGGATGATCGAGTTCTTTGGACCACCTCTTTATAAAACCAAGCGCGGACTTACCTTTGCTTAACGAGAGCTCAATATGCAAGTTAAAACGTGACCTATGGTCAAATAGAACGCCTAAATCTGTGAACGCATAGACGTCGTTTAACTTATGCGACTCAACGAAATACTGAGTAATGAATGACTTTCTTCTTGAGAAAGAAAGCTTCTTACATTTATTTAGAATTAGTTTCAGAAGATTCAAAGAGCACCATGCAACCAAATTATTGAAGTCACTTTGAAGCTGATGTGATTGCGATTCTACGGAGAAGGAAGAAAACAGTTTCATGTCATCAGCATACATTAAGATCTGACTCGAATTAATCACCGATGGGAGATCATTAATGCATAAATTAAATGAAATGGGCCCTAAGTGTCTGCCTTGAGGTACGCCAGACGTCACGAGGAATTCGTCCGAGGTGATGAAGTTAAACAAAATCCTGAAGGATATATTGTGCAGATAATAGCTTATCCATTTCACTAAATAGAATGGGAAGCTAGAGCCTTGGAGTTTAAAGATAAGTAAGTTATGTTTAACAAAAACAAACGCTTTGCTTAAATCAGGTATATTACATCTGTGCGAGAGCCACTAGAAAATACCTTGAAAACGTGACAAGTAAACTCTACCAAATTGGTGACCGTAGATCTTCCATTCCGAAAGCCATGCTGGTGTGGAGAAATATACGAATTAATGGCAAAGAACAAATGCTGAGTCACTATTCGCTCAAACAGTTTAGGCAAGGCATTCAACTTGGCTATGCCTCTGTAATGTTCAACCAGTTGTCTACTTAATTTTTTGTGAATAGGAATAAGGTAACTACTCTTCCAACACAAAGGGGAAACACCTAAATTCAAAAATTGGTTACAAATCTTTACGGTAACACCATATAACTCGACAGCGCAAGATTTAAGTACACAAGATGGAATTACATCAGGTCCAGGCGCGCAACTATATTTTAGAGAGCTCAAGCCTTTGAAAACGTTATTTTCAGCAATAGCCAAATTAGGAATTGAAACCAAGTTAATTATAGGATATATCCGAATTAGCAGTCGAAAAGTTTCGTCGGAAGTACTCAGCAAACAGATAAAAAATGTTAGAAAAAAGACGAAAAAAAGATCTCACTAAACCCTAAAACCCCGGCTCAATCCTCACAATGGAAGTCTCATCGACCATCGTCGAGCATATAAGTACCATTTAGAATATAGTATATATTTAAACAATGTAAATTAATAATAAATAAATTTAAAAAAAAAGAAACAATTTTACTCTGTTTCATTTATATTATAATAGACACAATCATGGACACAGTAGATAAGAACTATAAGAAGAGTCTTTTGGTTGTTTATGCAAGGTTTATAATTGTTTTTTCTTATTTTTTCTTTTCAGGTTATTTTTACATAAATACAAATAAATTTATTAATGGAATCACAATAGAAGGCAGCATAAGTAGTATATAGCTGATGTACGACTATCTGCATACATTAGAAGACTACCGACATAAATTGAGAAATCACCCTCAATTTGACTTTTTCGTAACCGTATCGCAAATAAAGGTATTCGTCAAGAATCGAAAAGCTCAGTGCACTTGCGACCTATACGTAGTGCTTGTGAACAGCTAAAAGCCGAATTGCAAGACGTGAGCAGATATTTGGAGGAATGGATGAGTATAGAAAATTCCATCCACTTAATGGATGAGCTGGTGGAGGCTTACCCTGGCACAGCTATCGGTTCATACAGGGTAAGCCGGGACTTACTGGAACTTTTCTTCGGCAAGATGGCACCCACAAGCAGAAGAAGGACGAGGTCATTGATGGAAGAAGTCAAGCGGTAAAAAAGATTAATGAACCTACAGGTAGCAAAATGGGCAAGCGGCTTCCGCGACTAGTACCTCATTGACAAAATGGACTACAAAACTGTCCAGACCGAAAACGAGCTTACACCATTCGGCCTCGATAGGGCAGTCTTGATGGCATTAGAGATTCTTTTAGCTTCTTCAAGTTATATGATGGTCTCCTCGATCCCTTTATAGCAAAAAATGTAGGTCAAGAACAAGCTTTAGGCTTGCTGAGAGCATTACAATCTCTTAACATAAATTTGGATTTTCTAACTAACACAATAAACGTATGAAAGCTTTAAATAAGATAAATTATAGAGAAAAATTAGCAAAAAAAAAAACATAAAAATCCCAAAAAAAAAAATTATATAAAAGTTATATATATATATATATATATGTATATATAAATAAAGTGATTAAAACATTCTAAAGTGTATTTAAAAAAAAAATTTAACAAAAAAAAATAGTACATTGACTTGTAAGTGAATTTTTCATGAATTGGATTTGAATTTCTCATTACTTCGCGCTATACCAGGTGATGTCTGTGAAGTTTGCATTGTTGTCGAGTCTGCTGAGCATTTAATCTTCAGATGTCACAGTCACAGCGGGTGGTTTTCGAGGATCTCCGCACAGGTCAGCTCAGAAATAAGGAAGAGACTTACCTGCGGCTGATCACGGGATACGGAATCACGCGCTATACTCGTGAGCAGCTCGGATGTCAGGATTGTTTAAATGACTTAAACCAGGAAGGAAAAGATAACTGTGAAGAAGTGAGCAAGTCAACGAGGCGTTCCACCATGCCTACGACTTCTATGACACAACATATGGAGGAACGGAAGATTGGTAAGCGCTTGCAGGCAACTGTGGTGGTACGGTTTGCCTTCTTCCGAGAAGCAGGTTCCTGCAGCAGCTGCAGTGTCCGCCGGATCGACTTACTTAGATACGTGCTGTTTACGCTGCTGACAGGAAAAAACTTCAGGGAGCCATTGGATATAAGTGCTTCGTCATTCTAAGATGATAACAATATTATATAAATATATTTCAAAAATTACAAATTTATTACTTCTATTTTAGAATACAAAAGATCCGGCTGTCATTGCAAGCAGAAAGAAAATCGTGCGGGAAACGCAGCAGAGGCAAAGTAATTGCAATATTATAAAAATATATTATTGTATACTTATATCTATAAGTTACTTATTAACTTACTTCTAGTTTAGTTTACCACCATACGAAGAAGGAGAAATCGTGTATTATATAGAGTAAAGTGAAGGTAAATACATTATTATATATTTATATTTATATATTACTTATTTCATTTCTCATATTTTAGTTTAGATTAAAAAGGAACGAAGCGCTGCCGCCTACCGCTTCATGTACATGAAGATTCGCTGTATGCTGAAGGTAAGTTCGTGTTTATATTTACTTATTATTATGTATAAATTATTCATTTGCTTTTGTTTCATTTTAGATTAAAGAAAAGCATATGCCTGCACTATCGCTTCAGCGAAAAGCGATACAGCCATAGGCCAATGGTAAGTTTCTGGTCATCTTTATAGATAAAATTTAGTAATTATATTAAGTTACCTTTGCAGATATCGACACACCGGCACAGCAGCGATCCTTATATATTTATATTTTTTTTTTATGTGTTTATCTATTATGTGTATATGTTATGTATAAACGGGGCTTATATTCGTTTATTACTATTATTGTAAATATTATTATTAGTTTCAAATTAAGTTTATAATGGTGTAGGCTTGCAAGGGAGCCAGCCATCTAAAGCAATTGGCAACGTGCCTATCACGGTACCTCAAGAGTGGTGTGGAAAACCGTGCCAGGCAGCCTGAACTACTTTGTTTATCAAGGGTTTGTCGTTTGTTTTTGGCGAAAATGAAGATATCGATTTCAGGCAAAAAAAAAATAAAAATGAAAACGAATTTTAGCTTCATCCTTTGATTTGCACAAATCTTCACGTGTTACGAACGTAACTTTAGATGATTTCAATTCATGTCCGTGCTTATCGCTGCAGTTCACATTCCATACGTCTTTTAGTATAGCATTGCATTTATTCAGAATTTCTCGAAATCCCATAGCAAATTTACAAAGGCAATACCAAGGATTTTGACTTAACGACAAAAGACTAGCTTGCGGATTATCATCTAAGGCATCGTCTAAAGCATAAATATTTATCTGTAAGGTATAAGAGCAAAGCAAGAGGTAAGAATGCAGTCTGGATGCATTGTTTGTACTTGGCTACCTTTCTTAGTCGATTTCCTTTCAAGTTTAACAAACGGAAATGTTCAAACCAATAACTGCCTTCTAAAACAGCGATGCTTTCCATCATATTATTATCTAAATGTATATCATCCACTCTATTAAACGTGTTGCTCGTGAGGACCAATGTTTGAGATTGCTCATCACCCCTTAAATTTTTAAAACTACACTTGATTCATGTTATTAGTAAAATAGAAAAAAAAAAAAGAAGAAAACTTTAATTTTCATTTGTTTATTTCTGAAATATGGAAAATAAAATCAAAATCATTCGATTTATTTTCATTACAAATTTTCTTTTGTTTTATTATTGTTAAAAAAATGGAGCGGATTTACAATATATTGATTGGTGGCGTATAAAGCCGGAGTTGGCTGAGGAGGGAATTGGTACAATTGCGTTATATCTTGCATGTTGGCAAAGCTTTGTATTACGTTAAGAATGAAAAAACCGAGAAAAAAAAAGAAAACGCGTTGGAAAGTTAACCGAAAGTGCATAATAATTTATATTAATAATTATAAAAATGAAGAAATTAAACAAATATATTTATATTATAAATCAACAAATAAATATGTATACATGTTTATATATAAAATCTGGTTGTTTCCCTTATTTTTTTTTTTTTTTGTTTTTTTTTTGTTCTTGCCACTAGTTGAGCTTTCTTCTTTTAAACACTAACTTTCACAAAAATGTGGTTAAACAATGAAAGGGAAAAATAAAAAAGTAAGAGGAAAGAGAAGGGGATAAAGCGGGAAAGACAAATATTAAAACGGAAAGAAGTTTATCAAATTTTAACAAATCTTAATGACACAACATTTTTTTTGGGAAACAAAAATGAAAAATTAGATTAAGAGTAAAAATAAATGAAAGATAAAATAAATAAAAATGCTTTAAAAGGTAATTTGAAAACGTACATAATATCTAGAGGAGCAAGCAGGCTTAAAGATGAAGTATAACTTAGATATATCATGAAGAGTAAACATTATAAAGCCGGTGGATATAGAATTTTAAAAAAATACATATATTTATATATATATCTATAACTTTTTATAAAATACAAAATTCCTTTACGTAACAAAGACAGCACGCTTAGACGTGTCTACACAATGGCTGGGTATGTTAAGAAAAGATCTTTAATGTTAATAATTTTTAATACAACTTTCTTCAGACAATGGGATCTAGATTGTATTAGACGTTATTTCTATTTGTATAAACATTTCTTTATAAGAGAGTATAAAACGAAAACAGTTTTGCACATCAATGTGTAGTTTTATGTATTTATATGGTATCGTGATAACTAGATTGTGATATATATATATATATATTTTTTGTTTTCTTTAAATCAAAGCTGCGATTCACACTTCCTCGGACGCTCGTGAAGAAGCCATTGTACCATGATTATCATTATTGCCACTTTGCTCATTCGTTTCTTTATTGTGGCTATCGGAGGCTTTGGTGTCATTGCTGGTGTTGTTGGTGACGTTGGCAGCATTACGCGCTACTAGACCACCATCCGTGTCATCGTCTTGAGATCGGAAAGCCGCCTCCAAGGCCCGTATGCGGTTTTCATGCTTAACAATAATCGCTTTAAGTTTACGTATCTCGTCGGTTATATCGCGGACATCTTTTTCCTATGTAATACAGAATGAATGAATTTTATCGATTAATAATTGACTTGTTGTTGATATTTATAATTCGCTTGCACTTACAGTAATACCGCTTACCGGCGCGGGCGCATTTGAGGCATTATTGTTGGATATGGTCGAGGTACTGGACACCAGGGTTGCGTTGCTGGCACTCTTTGATGTACCAGCTGATGCTCTATTAAGTATATTTGCTTTTCTTGTGACCGACAGCGACTTATTGGCCGATTGTGATACATAGCCACCCTGTACAATAGAAACACGATCCTATTTAGGTTTTTTAGCAATTCTGTTCTGTAAAGTGTCGTGAACAACAAGCAACATAAAACACAACGTGCAAACGCAGCACTGGGTGCGTGTTAGCGTGTTTTTTTAAATGAAAGCATGAACAAAGTAACAACAGACAGCATACTGAAAAGAGCTTAAATCAAACAATAATGCGTTCCCTTAAACTGCATTCAACACAAGGGATTTTCGAGGGCTTTTTTTTTTTTTGCATTCCAGAATTTCACTGTCAATCACTTAATTTAATAATTAAATATAACGAAAAGGCGAACACTATTGAAGCTATTGGAATACAACTGAACACTTCCACTGTTATAAGCAACACATTACTTTCTCTCTCCTTTTAATGCGAAAGGAATTAAGCATATTGACTGAACGCACTTATTTCGGATTTCTGAAAACTTAGACAGACCCCATTATTGGTTTTGCTTTTCATTTAGATTCATTTATAGGGAAAGTTCTCCGTTTTTTTTTGTATTCCAATACCGTTAATGTGGCAATCGGGATGACATTCAATAACTTACTTTAAGTGAAAAAGTTATCGGATCAGCATCTGTACCGGTAATCCATTCTTCAGCTGTAACAGCCGCATCCTCAGCCAGTGTGTCAGGGTATAGATCTTCTTGAAAGAGATCCGATTTACGAGGCACAGTCATTGAAATCACTTGACACAGACCGTTATTGTTGAGGCGATAAAATTTGGCAATTTCGCAGGTTGTGACATCGCAGCCACGCTTTGGCATCATGCCAATACCACGCTGAGGGTCTGGCGTTTGAAACGTATTAATGTAATGTACAAATGGCGCTTCTGGTGTGACCTAAATGTAAATTTCAGTGACAAATAAAGTAACTAATATTCATGGAACGTACCTCAAAATATCTAATCACTGAGTCACCTTTGCCGCAGAGGTAAATTAAATTTGTATCTGGATCATAGAGTGGGAACATTACACCGTTCGATGTGTCCAATTCGACCATAACGATAGGTTCACTTAACGCATCGGGGGCACGCAATGAATATTGTCGTTCGGAGGAACGATTAAATCCGGTGGTAAAGATTAAACCATGACGTAGAAAAATAGCGCGGGTAGCTTTGGAGCCCTCGTGACATAAAGCTTCACTTTCAATTTCACCATTGCGCGGATCATAGATGCGTATCTTTTTATCCTTGCACGTTGTGACCAGTTTTGAGCCATCCCAATTAAAGCAGGCACTATATACAATGTCGGGATGTGAATCAATGTGTACTAATATCTCACCAGTGCCCACATTCCAAATAACAACCTGGAGTTCAATAACTTATTAGCGAAAGGGTAGTCGAAATTAATCGAAATATATGTTTACCTGATTATCGGATCCCGCCGTTAAAAGTACATTCAATGCTGATGGATGCCACAGTACTAAGCCTACGCGACGTTGATGGAAAACCAAATCGACAACGGGTTCAGTAAGGGTACGTGATAATCCTCCGTCGGGTATCTGCCATACTTTGACGACGCAATCTTCTGAACCAGATGCGATGACATTGTCGTTATGAGGACACCAGGCTATATCGAGTACTGGACCTTTATGGCCGCCAACAAGCGGGTGATCGGCTGCTATACGCCCCACCTAGCAAAGTGGAATGAAAAATATATTTGATAATCAATACGATCTGTTATCTTAGATTTTACATCTATCCCTAGTAACTATACATTCTGTCCAAGAAGTAACCTTTATGATGATTTCGCATATTTTGTTTTATGGATACGTTTGTTTTTGGGGCTTTTTTTTGAAACAGCCTTGACTTTCTTTATTCATTGTCCTTTACGCTATCAGTGGACATAAATGAATTAGAACTAACAAATCGACGGTTGGAGAAAAAAGAAGTCGCATCAGAAGACGTGATGTGTTTCTTTATAATAAAATGAGCCGTAGTCGCTTTCCTGCCTAAAACTTTACTCGCACACCATAACACGCTAAATCTCCGCGCTAGGGCTATTGTGATTGTACGACCGACAAAAGCGTTACACTTATCGAGTGGGCAAACACCTCGTTGGCTGCAGCGGCTCTCTCTCCCTGTCTTTCCCTACTCTTTCCTGATCACGATCATGTTACACATATCGGGAATAACGGCCACTCTTGTGTAACGTTAGGTTGTAAATCTTCACTGTTTGTCTAAGTATTGAACTACGGACTTTATAGTTTTTACGTCCATATTTAAGTTCCACTTTAAGAGGATTCGAGGTAGTAGAGAGGGACGCGTGTGTCATTGCTAAACTAATTTGTTCCGGCGATATGGAGGATTCAAATTGTTTTTGCCCTAGAAACACTCCACAGATGGTTGCAACTAAAAGATACACACGTGCCTTACCCTTATAAGAACGGACGAACGAAACTTACTTACCGAAGCAGCAGATCGGAAGCCTTGGAATATACAGCACCCTACCCTTCCTACGGTCTGCTTCGGCCCATGGGTTTCAATGGGAGACCCCAATGCATTATGAATTTCCTTCTTTTGAGCCAAGCCATTAGCATGCATGGAATATTATCTTCCTTCTTTTGCTTGAAGCTATTTATTAGAACTATGGACTATTAGCTTAGATTTTGCTTCACATTATATATGTACATAGTATATTTCCCCACCATGCGCTGGCTCGGTTCTTCTAAATATTTTGACGAAAAGCTGATTCATATTATTTCGCAAGAGACCTATTTGTCTGATTTCTGGCAATTCTCAAAGCACAAAAAACCGCTCCATGGACATTGTTTCGATATTTTTTAAATGAAAATAAACAAAATATCTCATTAACTGCTGAATACGTTGAAAATGTCACTTGCTGTCTTGTCCTCGCGATAAAAAGAAAGTTAGATTTTTTCTACAAGTTTGCGCGAATTTAATGGAAATGTCTTAGTGGCTTTTGAACACAGCAATATATAAAGGAAATGCCGGCTACAGGATTTTTTGCAAAAAATTCGACGATTTAGGACACAAATGCCTATGGGAGTTAAGTGACAACACATTTGTCCGATATTTTTATTTACAGTGAAAATCATGCGAACCTAATACAAGTGCTTATAGGAAGTGCACTAAATTATATACAGCCACGAAAAGAGGGTGTTGGAACTGTAATGCCATAACACACAAAACCATTACTTCTAAGAACTTAGATTTTCAGTAAAATGCTTACACCGACAACTGATTCTTGATATTTTGTTGGCAGAACTACTAATCAGTGAAGAATTAATAAATAGAAAAAATACTAATAATCTCTTCTGGTAATGCTTGTCACTTAGTAGGGTAAGCGCTCTAAGATAAATTTTTAAAAATATTTTTGATTCATATTTCCTGCCGATTAAAGCTGTAAATAAATTCTGATTCAATGAATCGCCAGCCACTAGAGCACATAATTAAAAGACTAAGAATCATTCCTCTATTACAATTTACTTTGTAAAGCATTATAAAACACTGCTTTGTTGGTATGAATGTATATATATATATATATATTTATTTACATATGTATATATATATATGCATATTACATACGTGGGAATTACTAAAATAAATATCCGGCGGACGAATGTTTTAATATAAGCAATATGTGTGTGCTTAGCTTATGTAGGTTATAAACGCTCTGATAAAAGATGAAACATTGAAGAATAATTATAAATTGTCTGCCCAGGCATTTAGCGCAGACAATCAAATGAATCAATAAGTTTTCTAAGCACGAGGCAATGTTTTCTCATATATATTATCTTTTCAATGACCACAACGGGAGCCATAAAAAGATTGCGAAAACTACTGAAAGCCTTGAATCAAAACTTTACTCATTAATCCACCAAATGCAATAAATCCACTTCCACTCCTCTTTACTGTATGCCAAGGCAATGTGGTGATGACCAAGAGGATTAGGATACCAGATGTGTTCTATTTACATTATGTATTTACGTCCCAAATCTGCCTACGTCTGCACATTCTTGTAGATATTTATTTATCTATTGTCTATATATTTTGTAAATAATAAAAAAATAAATTTACAAAGTATGGACTTAAGGATTGTTGGTTAACTTAGATGACATGCTTGCCTATATTGAAAACTCTACCAAATTTCTGATTTGAACCGACCATACGCGATCCTTTGCCTACTCGGCTACTCATGCGGACATTGTCATAGATATTTAAAAGAAAAAAAGAGAACGTAAACATTGAGGAGAAGAAGCAGAAGTTGGAGAGTTTAGAATCGTCTCGCTGTGACAATTCGGAGTGTCGAGTAATGCGTTTCGTAAAATATTTAACTACGCAGTGTTCTAATGGACGAAGTCATCGCTGTCCGCGTGACCTATTCACAATGATCTGTTTACGCCTAAATGTTTCATTAGTACCCGTGAAGTACGCCCGCAAAATAAATCGGTTTATTGTGACAATCGAATGAGCGAGCTGGTAGAGTCCACTACTCTATTTAATTTCATAAAATTCTTTTAGACCGATTTGGCTTCTTTTTCTTTCTTCGTCTTCTTCTAATATTTGTGAAAGCTAATGCCTTCCGTAGTCCAAGACGACGAAAACTTATTCACAACTAAATAAGAGAACATTTTGTCTCTTGAAAATTCAATTTCGAAACTGCGATGAACGCACATGTAGATTCGGTGTTCTTAAAATGCCATCCAGGCTGTTGATTGTTCTTAAAAATCTTCCATTGGAGGATCACTTACGTTTATCCGCTTTTTGTCTCTTTTGCTTCTTATGCTCAATCTTCCTATTGCAGGGAAAAAATTGCCTAAGCTATTAGCAGTAAAATGGACCATTCTCCTCTTTAAGCGGAACTATTAGTTTCAGATGAACTCGGTAGTGCAAGATTTTGCAGACTGACGCAGGCGGTGACTCGCCATAAGCGACAGCGAAATGCTCTTTTTCATTTTCAAGTTTTCTTACAGAGTTCCGCAATTTCAGATTTTGACAAATCTGTTTTTCTATAGAAGAAATCATCGCGACCTTGTCCTTCAGAGAAATATCCTAACAATGAAAAATTTTTGCAAAATTTAGAAACCATAATTTTTTATGTTCTTTTTTCTTTTTTTTATGTCACTCAGGGAATGTCCTCTATTCGTAAAACACGGTGGCTGTTCGAAAGAGGAAAGGAGAGACAAAGAAATAGTGAGATGGTGGCCGCAGCCTAGTCGGTATGTGTCCAATCGATAACTTTTATGGGTACGACTAAAGAAAACTCTACCGCACTTGAGATTCGAACCCGCAAACATTGACTTGGTAGTGGGGGTTTTTACCTACCACTCAGGCGGATTATGTGATTCATAATCGTTATTGAAAACGATCATCATTGCGAATGACGATCGATCGATTGATCGGTTAAAATAATTGCAGAGATTTCGTTTTATCATTTCGATTAGTGGATCGAACCTGATAAGTGATATATCTATTTAAAATGCTTTTTCTTTCCGGTTTTATGTACTTATCCTAATTTTGAGGTTAGATCCGTACGATCGGATTGTGAACTTAGAATAACGTAGATTGTATTTACATAAACTACAAGAACTATTTACAAGGTAATTATGTTTTCAAAAAGTACTTAACAACGCTTCGTCCCATTGAGCTCGCATACACGTGATCAACTTCTTACTTTGAGTGTCAAGATTCAACTCTTTTTTTTTATCTATAGAAAATCGTTTGCTTATAAACTTTTCGAAAACTAATTATCGGTATTCTTTTCAAGAATTTAAGGAATTTAATTTTCCACAAAATCAAATAAAAATTCACCGCCACACCGCTTGAGGTACAAGGATATGTTAAGTTTTTGCGGACGTCTGCACGAACCAGATGGACTTCAGACAGATCCACTTTTTATTATGCCGATCGAGTCAGAATCATTAAGCTTGTCTGTCCATCCGCCCGTAAATTTTTAAGATGTCATGATGAAATTTGTTACCTGTTTTTGCCCCGTGGATCACTTTTCCGACCACTTCGCCTTTCCAACTTATGAATTTTGAAAATTGTTCTATAGGTAACTGCATTCAACGAAGTAATGTGAAGCATTTAATGATGCTTTTACTTATTGCCATTAATCGACTTTTTTGGTTTCACTAAGGGATGGTCAACGCTCAAATTTTACTTCTTTTGGGATTGTGGCGTCATGACCTTTCCTAGGTATTTCAATGTATCACACCAGCAGGGAGTAGTGCGTTTGTCTCAAAAATTGATACCTAGTATACATATTCTATTATCAAATTCGTTCTGGGTATACGGCGATTTCGCTTTATTGACTCTTTGAGAAGTGGAATAATTGCGAAGCCTTATGCATTTATGGGTAAAAAATTGATTGATTCACCCCGTTGCACGGGGTGAAAATATATTCCAAATTATGCGATTAAACGCAGTTTCCCATTTTTTATTACCAATTGGCTCCAGCTGTCAATTTTCGGCGCAACATGCCATACCGTTTGCGATATAATAATGGTTTTGAAAATCAAAGAGAACTGAAACTCATCACGAATCATGCAAATCAACATAACTGTAAGCAAGTACCAACTGTACCGCTTCCAAGAAATGCATCACAATTAATGTATCAGAAATTTTGCGAAAACGTGAAATATTAATCAAGAATGAGCAGTAGGTGAAATGAAATTAGAATCCGCTGGAAATTTAACTTTGAATTCATCACACCATTGATTATGATGAATCTTTCAAAAAAAAAAAATATATATATATATATATATATATATAATAATAATGATAATAATAATGTAAGGCTTAACTGCTCAGCATATAACAAGGCAACCGGTAAAGCTGTTGGCTTTCTGTATTGAAGAGTTAGTAGTTGCTGCTAATAGCCATGGTTTGACTTTGTTATAAGATTTTCCACATCTTTGCATTTTCATGCTCAATCTAAATTTATAAATAAAATCTATTAGTTTTTGCATATTTAGCTCATTTCAATTTGGCGCAAGGTTATGCTTTAATAATTCATATAATTTCACTTTCAGGTGATAAAAGCGTTTTAGCCATTTCTTCTTTTAGCCACTATTTACTTTTACTTCGCAGTACAAATATAAATAATGAAACCCGTATAAATGCTACCAACCTACATACATATACGCCGCGCAGAAGTGACTATTTATGGAAGTGAGGAAAAATGATGTATAAATAGCGCACAACGGTTTTGATCGTTTTGTGCGTTATAATATATTTGAAAAAGAAAAAAAACAAAAAAGCAAAAATTTTTTTTTTTTTTTTGGCTAATGGCCAATAAATGGGGTAACGCGCGCAAAATATATTTCAACGAAATACGTATGGAAAATTTTGTTCAAAAATTAAATAAAAATTATAACAAACTATAAAAAAAAAAAAAAAAAAAAAAAGAAAAAGCTAAACACTAACGCAAACAATTTCAAAAATACAATTTACGACACTTCGCCGTAGAGCGGATCTTAAATATCCGCTCGTTATAAACGTGTACATATCTCAATAAATTGCCGCCGTATTGTACGAATTTGCGAACTTTGGATACGAGCTCCCTTTCTCTCTTCCTCTCTCTTTCTGTATGGGCAAAACGGGTTTATGTGTAGGCCATCGAGTCAAATTTTTGACGCATAATTTTTATAAAATGTTGGCGATTTCGTGGTCAACGCGAGAATCGGGTATTAACCGACTTCCTAAATATTTCGAATAGACGTACCACTAAGCCTATCAGAATAAAATATCGAATTGCCATAATAGTGCAAGGGAGAAGTTCGTGGCGTTTCAGGCAATAGATGCGCAACTTTCGCAATGCTACAGCCCATCTATGTTGCATAAGAAAGGTGAGCGTCCATAACTTATTTGGCATTGGTCAATCCAGTTTTGAAGTGAGCATAAGTTCTGCAAAAATTTGTTGATTTTAAAATGTTGCCTTGATCAAACCGATAGCGTTTTTTAAAGGCCGGTTTATGGTCCTCGATATCGTCTAAGCTCAACCGTAATTTGTGTACACTTGTTGACGGCAATTTTGCAATGAGAATATTTCTTATTCGTTAGGAAGAAAAATGGATGCTTTATCGCCAGTCGCAGATTTTTGAATAGCAAACAAGTTTATAACCGACATCTGTCAAGTTCACTCGAAACTGGTTGATCCTTTCCCCTGTGGATATTGCGATGTTAAAGGCGTACAAATGCTATGACTACCGTTGAGAAATTAAGAAAATACATTGCATCTTATGAGATTGACTGGCCAGCAACTAAACTTTGAGCAAACAACAGGGATAAAATCAAGCCCGATTTTTGGCCACAATATATATATATATAAATATATAAGTTAACAAAGAATAACTTAGTGAAATGAATTTCCCTCTGCGCACTGCACCTGGAATGAAACGAAGTTGAGTAACTTCTTACTCGCTTGACAAGGAACAATGGCAGATGGGTCACAAATGTTCATAGGATGTCGAAAAGAGCTCTGCACAAGATGAATGAAATGACGATAATGCTCGAATTAAAGCCACGTGCGCCAGTACGTTGCGTTAGAAAAAGAATCGTGCGTAGTAAGTTATGACTCCACTGACTCTATTATCGACAACCGAACTGTGATTAAAGCAATTGAGATAAAACATCTAGAATAGAGAAGACGCTGTCTTCCAGAATTATCGGATCACAGGAACTATTTTAGTGAATCATCTGTCGATAATTCAGAGAGTTTAGTATGGAATTTTTGATGCATTTGTTGTTTCGCCCCGCGCCCTAACGTTGTAAAGCGAACTTCAAGAATCTCTTGATTGAGTTTGGCGATTAAAAATGCCAAAAGTTCCGAAATGACGTCATCATGACTTTTCAGAAAGATTGTTGGTCGCAATGAAAGTAGGAGGGATGAGGTTTACCCAAGTTTAGTTAAAATAGAAGAAAAATGATTTTAAATGTTGGGTAAAAAACTCTTTGATGTTTTTCGAAATGAATTCCGGATTGATATCCACTTCTTTAACAATTTGCAAATAATTGATGGAAATAATTCTTAGCATATCAGTGAATACACGGGCATTGTATGTTAATTGCTTGTCTAGGTTTCGGATTGGCTTTAGGCATATCTGTGAGATGAACTTGGCTGAGATCAGATAAACATTCGAAATGAATTGTTTATCAGATTCGTAGAAATTGTTAGAAAACCTTCGTGAAATCTTTAATTATAGATTAGTTATATAGGTATGTGAGATGTTTCTTTACAAGTTTCAGCAAAACAAGGCTTTACCAAGCTTGACATTTCAATTTCAAAGCTTGCTGCTTCAAAAAGTCCAGCAATAAACGAACATATCTAAGAGTCATAATATCAGGGCCATGGCAGAGAATCTTAGTTTTGCCGATATTTAGTTTTTTTCTTTTTTTCGATTGCGTAACTTCAGCGTTCGAACTCTCTTTTAAAGTGGGGAATATGACTATTTTCATTGTCGAATCATTCCCAATGAGACTCACGCAGGCTCAAGATTGCTCACGGACACTTGCGGAGTCTTAGTTTTGATAAGTGCTACTAAGGCATTTGGCGCACGTCCGTGTTATGAAGCTGCAATTATTCTGGCAAAAAGAAGTCATTTGAGGGATATTCCGCGCATACATAGGTTTTCTTCTTTCAGAGAATGAGATCAGACTTGAAGGTCACATAATGTAATCGTGAATCGAACACAAGGCGCGGCTGTTGTTCGTACAAATTAGGATTATCAAATAATCCCGGCGTATGAATTCAATGAGATGACCCAATTTACCATCTTTCTCTACAATAGTTACTGCTGCCAACGAAATACAGTTAGGGAACTTTTTACAGAAAATCTCCACACATTTGTGCAGTGCTGGGTGGGTATATAAAGAACTTCGGTCTACATCGAAAATAATTTCTTTATTGAATAATTTTCTTTTGTTTCTTTTGTTTGATTTTCAAGTTTTGGTAAAATATGTCGATTGTCGATTATGGGCATTGTTTGCATGAGCTTGCTTACCTTATTATGTGGCAGTACTATAAATGCGCCACCACCTGCCGATTCAACAATGATGGCTAAAAATTTCGGATTCACTGCGCAAAATGTGGAATCCCAACTACTTTTGGAGACACGTATATTATCATAGCATTGTTCACGTTTCAAAGCTTGACCGTAAACGTGACGAAATTTCGAACTTCTCACTACGCGAAATGACATTTTTTTCTACGATGGTTTTTAGTTAAAGTTTTTTTTTTTTTATTTATTTTTTTTATTTTATTTTATTGTAGTTGTTGTTGTTGTTGCTTTTTCTTGTTGTTATTACTGTTACTGCTGCTGTTACTATTGTTGTTGTTGCTGTTGCTACTATGTTTGTTTGTTAGATTATCGTTTTGCACTTTTAATATTTTTTGTTGCCTTTGCTTTTTTTTTTTTTTTTTTTAATTTACAAAACAATTATTTTATACAATGCTTCGGGCTCTTCCGTATTCTTCGCTTCCTTTTATGTTATATATACAATGGGATAATTGGTGACGTGCCTTCTTTATATGCATATGTGTATGTGCGTGTATACATACATACATACATACGTATATACGCACGCATATATATATATATTTGTATATGTATATATATATATATATGTATGTATATAATTATATTTCCCTTTTGGTTGTTTTTTGTTGTTGTTTTATTTTAATAAATATTTTCTAAAGCATTAAAAATTTCTTCTATAGGTTTAATTTAATTTTTAAACTTTTATTATTTAAAAAACATTTAAAAAACAATTCTCAAGGCGGCAAAATTTATTTATTGTAGTTTTCTCTTTATTTTTAGAATAATTAATTTCCTTCGTTTTAGTGCAGTGTTGGTGAAATATTTTCAATAAATCTAAGATTGATCTGAAAAAAAATAAAAAGAAAAACAATCAAATAATTGTACATAGATTTAAAACAATGGGTAACAAGCAAATGCATAGCATCTTTTATGCTACCGAAAAAAAAATTTAATTGAATAATATAGTATTTTTATAATAAGGAATTCTGATCTCATCCCTTTTGAATATCCTTCGATGTCTTTGTGACTCACTAAGCGTCTTTTTTAGCATGGACGGCATGCACAAGTAATTTCAATCGATTTTTAAATGTGAATAGAATGCACAATTATTTATTGTTTATTTAATAATTTTTTTTTTTTTTCGATGATCTCTATACGAGGTACGTCAAACCTTAAGCCCTTACGGATTTAAAAAGCTATTTTGAATAACTTTTTATATGCTAAACCATATATGCTATATAAGGGTATGCAACGCCCAAAACTAGTCGAGATTGACTTGACCTTTTATTATATCGATCGATTCAGAATCACTTTTTCCTCCGTTCGCCTGTTTTGTTTTTTTGTATTTAACTTCAAGGCCGCAGCATTTTGAGATATTTTGATAAAATTTGGTACACCTACGTGTTTTGGTCTAAGGACAAAGACTATTGAAAATGTTTCGGCTCGAGTAATTTTTTCGACCCCTTCCAATATAAGGTCATATTTTATAAGGTAGCTATACGACGTACGGTAAGGTAATGCAGAGTATTTAACGGCTAGCCGTGATCCACTGCAGTGTTTCTGCTTGTTTTTCACTTCTTTGTATTTATAAAAGAAGCTACGACACTACTCTCCGATATGTACTGAAGTGTTATTGAAAGTCCACGAAAAGAAAATATAAATAAAAAGAGATATGCGTTAGAAAGTTTCTATTAATTCATAAGATATCCCCCCTCCCCCCACGCGGCAAGTGAAATAGTTTTTCCTTACGTTGAAACGAATTTATTTATTTATTGATTTCTGGTCGCAACATACATTCGGTCGAATTAAGTGTTAAGTACTAAGATTAACAGCGTTTAAACTACGCAGAGACGATTATCAATACACACAACGCACAACGAAATTCAAAACAAAGAGTTTTTTACAATAAATTTAAAATGCTAAACGAACAGCAAAGCTAAAGTAAAGAATGTACTAATATTTCTAGGCTTAAGGTATTATCAAGCAAACACAACTTTAACTAACCTATACATATATGTCGGTATGTACAATGTATGGTTTAACGCATTGAGATTCGAGCCCACGACCATCGACTTGGTAGCAGCAAGTCGTAGTCGAGTCGTACTACTTTTTTCAAATTTTTAATCGAAAGCAATAATTTTGACTAGATGAAGCTAATGTTTTTGCTATCACCGAATGTCATTGCTAATGCGAATTACTCTGCCGCGTGCAATGATATCGTTAAATGGCAAGTGAGGATCACTTTTCTGAATTCTCTACCATCTACCATCAGAGAGTACGTCATAACCTATCGCGCTATGACTAGTTTTTCTAACAAAACAATTTGCCGATGGTTTACTTTATAAGTGCGTCATTTCCTGAATGTCGCTCGAAAAGACATGGAAGAGTTTTCGCGGATGTTTTATTGAGAAATCAATTTCTACATTTTTGCAAACACTTATCACGCGATCATCACTTTATTTTTGTAATCAAAAAAAGTTATAATTATTTACCTCGGAGTCTACTTTGTCGGTGAAGGACACTTATTGGCTATGGCTGGTGGCTATTGGGACACAAAGTAATCATTCATTGCTCAATATTTTTGACATTTTGCTTAGCGAAATGCACTTAATTTTTGACTTGAATCGAGTCAATCACTTTACCCCTTATAATGCTTAAAGCGTGGATCCTATCGAGAGAATTGAGTAAAATCTGCTCAGAGATCTAAACGCGTGTTGTGATCTTAAATAGTTTTAAAAGGTGAGCTCTGTTGCATTTCTGAAACACCCTTCGTTTAACTAATTAGGACGAATCCAGCGGTAGCGAATTTATGCGCGCACTCTTCTCCATGCTAAGTGCATATTGAATTGTCTGCTCGTCGCAGTATTGCCTAGGAATGCTTCAATGTCACAACGTAGTGACACCGGCACCGGTACTGTTGCTTCTTGTTGAAAGGAAAAATCGAATAACTCGCCAATAATATGTTCACTAAATCAAGCGGAAAACTCTGAATGTATATAGATCAACCTAGGTTGAAGTACCTTGCCCTGGCCATGGTTGGTTCGGGAATTCGCTTTGAAAACACTGGAGGGCACTGAGCTGTGCGAAATTTCAATATAGTGAGACTACATGAAGTAACGATGGCAACGAAGGTGAAAAAGTTCGAAGGGAATATGCTGCGGAAAATGGGTAACTTTATGTTGAAAACGTGAAATTGTTTTTGTTAATATTTCAAACTATGATGATTTGGCAGTGCACACTGAGCAATGCTTTTAGAGTATTGCAACGATTTTAGGATAGCATAGGTTTAATTCACAACAATTCTTCCCGTCTTTTCCATTTACGGGCACTTCAATTCTCTTGACTCAATTGAATTTGCATTCCGCCAATATTCTGTTTATATGATCTTTGACAAGCAAGTCAGATCAGTACCCAGTTTTTTCGCTATGTTTCCCCCTTTTCCGCGGAACGTTCTGCTAATTGTTGTCCGTCTCATCGGCAAACACCCGCTGGACGTGCCAGGTAAGCTGTCATGAGTATGTGTTTGGTGTTGACATGCAAATTCCGATTGTTAAGTGTGGAAAAGGATTCTCGTAACAGTGCAATTAAACCGAAATAACAGAACCAAGGATTTATTATTCTTTCATAGCAATTTTTGTAATTCGAAGAGAAAAAGTTTTCAAATACATAAATTTATCTGAAATATATGTTCCCTGCCTTGTCATTCATGTCGGAAGAACACGCAGATAAGGCATTTAATTATTGAGTTTGTGGCCCTGCGATACTAGGACATTGGCCAAGCCTGATCTATCAAATTGAAAAATCATTCAATTCGCTCAAGTTATTAACAACATTTAATGCTTATGTTATGCTTCGATTAATTTTCATTCTCGTATTCTTAAAATAATAATTATTATTAATTTCATGCACTTGAGAACGCCATCTGATCTTCACTGCAATGGATAAGTGAACTCGGTTGCAATTTATTAGATGTCGTAAAAATGGGTTAAATGACTTTTGTTATACAACAACGAGAATGCATTCAAAGGGAGAATTAATATTCGAATTATATTTAATTTCAAAAATATCTACCAAAACGCTCTTCACTACTCTTCACTATTGACGGTGGACACGACACTCACAAAATTATCTAATTGGATGGCTATCTCCGAAAGCTATTAAGATTGCAAAATATTTGTTTATATTGTACGCTGGTTGGCAGATGAGAATCATTTTTACTGTGACATTGGAAGAATGAAGATGCTCTGGGTAAATAGTTGTAATATGTTTTGGATCAACATCATCAATAAATTGTGTTTTGCGTGCAGATTCAATTTTGTTTTCAAGAAGCAGAGAAGAGGTTTTGTTTTAGGTAATCACAACTTCATGTTTTTAAGCAGTTAAGTTAATCATTTGAAGAATTCCTCGGACTCTGTGAGGCTTCTCTTCACTTCACACCACTTAATTTCGTGCACTTCCTCATGTTAACTCGTGCATTGAAGTCTTTTCTGGATGCTCAAGGTATAACGTAGACACGTTTTGCTCATAAAGTCAAACTTACAGACCACATGTTCTTCTTCGTTCATGCTTTCTTAAGATTCTCTCGTCCAATCTATGTAAAATTAATTGGTAATAAGCCTATGGCCTTATAGTTACTTAATCAGTGAATGGATGGAAATGAAAGGAAAATGAATCGTGATGATTGTTGATAAAAGATAGTCAAACTAAGGGAAAACGAAGTGCAAAAAACTTTCACAGATCAGGCGGATGTCGTAGTCTCACAACTAATATGATCGATGATTGGCTCTGCAATATTATGGGCAGCTTCCTGCCACCAAGGTCATCGTTGTATGCCGTTGTAAGTAACAGCATACGCGAAAAAATATGTATGAAGTTGTTCTAGCACGCTTGGCAGAAACGCCCGGACACATCAGAAAAAGTTTTGGAAGCACCTAACTAGCGCATGCTACTCTATCCGTTGCATTCACTCCTTCTTGCTTTTCGCGATTGCCATCTATTTCGATGTATCGAGGTTTTATAGCTTGATTTTATATTTCCGATCATGCCAAAATAAGGGCGAGGTTTTTTTTCGATGTAAAATTCGTTTGTTGCCAGAAAAATGACAACAACTAATGGTCAGCAATAGTTGGTCAAAATTTTAAATGATAATTTTGGGACCAGTTTTTACAATTTTTGTATTCTTATCAAAGGCCACGATTTTCCAAATCATCATCAGCTATCATTT